AATGGGAAAAGGGTGGTACCAGCCAATCGGTTTGATCTCGTTAGGATGACTTCTGTCCATTCAAGTGGCAGTGAGTCTGATCGCAATGGATTCTTGAGACAGCTAACTTTCATTAAGGAATCAAAGACCATGTTGAGACGTGACAGCTCTGCTCGCAATACACCAGGATCTCAGAATGGATCACCTCGCAGAGCAGTTCCTGGAGCTTCAGCTGTCTTCTTGTGCTCATCCCGATGTCAGGAACTTAAGGCTGCTGTGCAACCCCCAAGAAGGGTGCAAGTAAAAGATCCAGATCAAAAACAACAAATCCAGAGGCCAAACACCGGCCTTCACAAGCAGACAGCAACTCTATCAAGAGCAACATCCAGTGAAAGGGACCTATCTTCAAGACGCTCAGCTAGGAGAACAAGCTCTGAAAGCCCCTGCAGGGTGGCTCAGCGAAATGGACCTGGAAGACTTTCTGGACTCAGGCAGCAGCAAGACAAGGACACCTTTAAACGTCATGCCTCATCACCAAGCATAAACATACTGAGCCGAGTGACCAGTCGTTCTTCCCTCCGCTCCTCTTCATCTGATTCAAGTGGAAGAGCGAAGAGTGAGGATGATACCAAGAAGAAAGGGCAGAGGTCCGCATCTCGTCTAAAAGATGGAGTTACCTGGAGGAGGATCAGGGATGAAGATGTACCTCAAATCTTGAAGAGTACTCTGCCAGCAAATGCATTACCTCTGGTGCCTTCTCCTGATGGAGAAAAGCCAAAGCCACCAGCTCTTCCAGGAAAACTGCCAACCATTCTACTTGCATCCCGCAAGACAAGTGATGCAACCGTCCAGACAGAAGATTTATCAAATAACAAGACCAACTCAAGTACCTCACCTACAGTCGAAACAGCTCCAGTGATCTCTGAGGAAGTAGCAAGACTGGCCCTCCTCAGAAAGATTAGTGCCACCTCTGGGAGTAACCTCCAGGAAGGAGATTCCGAAGGCTCTCTGAGGAGCACCATCTCCACTGGAACAGCAGATAGCCACATGGGTGGAGTTGTGACTTTCCGACAGGGATCCCCAAGCAAGGCTGCACGAGTCACTCCATTTAATTACATCCCCAGCCCCATGACATGCTGTCTACAAGACAGCCAGAACCAAGTAGGGACAATAATTGAGAAGTCAGGGGGGAAAAAGTGAGCCATGGGGTATTTGGTGGATTATTGGTTGATACAGATGACTCAGCACTCAGATGGACAGATGAGGAGTGTGCTGGTCCCCATACCTCGGGTATTGACCCTTATTTAAACCATTCACTGGAATCAAAGTTTTTCTCTGAGCAATTGATTATGGCTTCCTTCTACCATTCATACAAAGTTGGATGTATGCATTGAGGCAAGTCTGACCTGAACAAACCACCAATAACTGTCAGTTATTGCACTTCTAAGGAAAATCTCACATGAAGAGAACGTGCATTTTTGTACTCCTTTTTTTTGTATTTGTAGAATAATCATTGCCTAGTAGAAATTAGAAATTTCAGCACGTATATCATCAGTCTCTTGGACACAATCGATTAAAAAGACCAATATTATGCAAACTTTTGAATGATCACTTGGTTGGACTTCTACATAAAAAGGTTCAAACTGTGGCAGACTGTTGACAGACTCTTACTGACATAAATACACTAACATGTAAAGTATTTTTTACATAAATACATCATCGCTTGGAGTCCTCCTTCCATGCTCAGCTGAATATGATGTTAGCCTTTCCTGTTACATACAGAGCCCAGTAGGTTTTCCACATTTCCGAGGAAACCAGTTGCTCAAATGCACTTTTTTCCCCCAAATCGCTGTTCTCGATCAATATTACACTTGTATTTCTGTGAATTTTCCTATTTTATTAATTTCCTGATGTGTGTATACACTTTGTGGATGTTTTTTGAAAACTCAACGCATTGTTGTCTTTTCAAAGGCATCCTTTGTAATGCGTTAAATGATAAAAATGTAACTAGTACAAAACTGAAAAATCTGGATACCAAAATGAAAGTGAAAATGAATATGTTGAGGTTTTGGGCGTGCTTACTCGACAACATGAATATACAAGGTGTGATCAAAAAGTTATTTTTAAAAAGGTCCAAAAAGAATTCACAAACCTTTCCTGATTTACAATTGGTCAGTCTCACTTTCATGGTCATCATTTTTAGATCTCTCTAAAAGTCCTGCTTTTTGATGCACAACATTTCAAGTCATTTCCACTGAATGTTCTCACCAAGTGCACGAGGACAGGACTTCCACATAATCATTCAAATAAAGCCACATTAGACGCTATCTGGACATGCCCAAAAAGATGAGCTTGGACAGAAAGTCAGAAGTGTAAATCGAAATGATTTTCTTGGTCCTATTCTCAGAACTTCTTGTTCACACTTTAAAAATCCACCAAACATAATTTTGGTCCAGTCTTGCACAAGAGCTATACCACACATTTTCGGATTTTTTTTACATGAACACAAAGGTGATAATTATGTTTATTTCAAGTGAAATGTTGGTTAATCTTCCTAACATTTTGTCCATTCGCTTAGAGGGGCAAAATATAAGAACTATCCATTATGACCTTGACAGTGAACAATACCATTAACACCTTTCTGACAATCTATTAGCATCATAAAAGCAGACATCATGTCGCAGCTGTCGAGTCAGATTGCACATGTGTTTAGTGAATGTCTGAATGTATATTGCTATACAAAACTTTTACTCTACAGCAATGAATTATAGCAGTTTAAATTGAGCATTTCCATAAAACAGTTCTACTCTGTCATTTGAAAATTGCAATGACCCAAACATGCAGAAATATTACAGCATCTTCCACAGAAAGCATCAGCAGATTCTGAACGATTTCACTCTTTCCAGTTCTCTTAATGTGTCTTAATCAGTATTGTAAATATGCAGATATACTACAGCTCCATGGTGGGTAGAAGAGCCTTGGTGTCGCTCCCTGACAGCATGCTAATATATTCACTGACTGTATACACACACCTGTTAACATTGTGGACACTGAATAATATTCAGTGTTAATATACTCTCCAAAGCCCGACAACAGCGTTACCTGCCATCTGTATTGTTGTGCTGCAAAAACCTATAAAGATATAAGCTGTCAGCATAGATGAGCAAAGCGACTCCATGCCTCTGACGTTGTGTTTGCTACTAGATTCAGGTACTGTTTGCTACTTCACTGATGGTCGGGCTTTGAGTGGACAGACGTGCGTTCTCACAGAAGTCATCTTCTGGAAGTCTTTATAATGTGTTAATATCCGCTTAACTGTATTGCTGTAAAAGTAGTGATAGGTGGAAAGTACAAAGACGATGAATATTCTCTGTAATTGTACCATCACTCTTTCATGTGTGCCCGCTGAGCTGAATGGGATGAAAGTTGGTCTACGTTAAGGGGCCGGTAATTTAAAAAAACATAATTCCTTACTGTGTTCTCAAAGCATGTTTCAATAAAACCCAAGAAGCTTCCGAATGCAATCCTTTCAAGTCCCAACACCCATTTAAAGTTTTAAAAGTGATTCACTACAGAAATCTATCTCTTGAGTGTCAAACACGATTGGATTTTGTGCAAAGCTCTGGAAGAAGTAACTGAAAACATCTGCAGAACACTGCGCACATGATTACAGTAGTGTGGTTCAACAAAGCTGAGAAAGTCACAGTGTTTTAGTCTTTTAAACTGTTAGGAGAGCAGTTAAGAGGTGCAGCTGTTTGCTACTTTATCACTTAGCAAACCAGAAAAATCAAATAACCTGTTAAATCCTTAGCTTGACATATTCCCCATGAAAAAGCAAAGGAAGAAAAGTCACATCAATAAGATGTAAAAAAATTACCTGTTCTGACATAACATTTAATCTTCATTTGATATTTTTCACTCTTTTATGATGTAGACCTAACAAGTAATTGAGTAAATAAGTAGAATATTAATCAATAATAAATCGGTTAAAAAAAGAAATCTGATCTGAGCTTTCCTAACCAGGGAAAATATTCAAACATAATGATTAAAATATTTCTGAACAGCCAGTGAAAACCTTTTGAGCTTGTAACTGTAGACCTGAGAGGAAACTAGCTGAGTGTTTGACACTCAAAAGACAGATTTAGGGTGCAGAATCACATTAGCAGCCCCATCCAGACTGAATGAGGTGTGAACAAGATGAGCAGGGAGACAAATACCATCCGAGTCTCTGCTGGTGCCTTGTTTATGCGTGACTGGAGACAAGTTTAATGCAGGTCAGAACCTAACTGTGAACTTGGTCGAAGCATGGTGAGCATGAACAAGGCTCCAGAGGTATCATGGTAACATGCAAAACAGACGTATGTCATTTTAAATGTCTTCATTCAATAAAAAGTGATGTGTTTCCTTAAACAGCTGTGTCGACGTTCTGTCCAGTCAGGGGTGTCCACACCGCCGGAGTCGTAACAAGTAATAATTTGCTTTGAGCAAATGTCAGGTTTCACTGGTTAGTGTGTCTTTATAGCCGGTAGGAGCTTTCTTATACGGATTTCACTTTATTTGGACACAACACTAAAATGTTCTGGTGAAGTGCTGCCCTCTTCTGATGGCAGTTTTATTGCATACAAAATGTAACTTGTAAACAAAATCTCCCAAACTATGTATTAAAAAAGTCTGGTTACACTGTGAAAAGCAGCAATTTTCCAAAGATGCTTAAAAGCTTAATGCGTTTCATAAAAAATAACTGAGCAAATGATATTCAAACAACAGCTTCTTCATAAAAAACGACTTTCAAAGTCAAATGTCAAACATACATCATCTCTAAATACAACCATTAATTTTTTTTTTAATTTTATTTGGGGGGGGAGGGGGGGTTATACAGCCTTCTTTTTCTTGATTTTGAATTAAAGCCTTAATGACCTACAGGAACCCGTAGAACCAACAAACTGGCAGTAAATGTAATTTGGGCAACAATTCTTAAGACAAGGTGCTTTCTTGCTTTCTTTAAGATACCGATTAACCAAACAACTCTGATCATTTTATTTTCCCCTTTACAATATGTAATCAGGCACTTTTGCTTGATCCATTACATCAACATTTATTTCAATCTGAGTTAACATACACCTGGAAAAATGTGAAATATTAAACTGCTACATGACAGACATTAACTATACTAATTATAATTTAGTAATGATTGACATCAAACTCTTCATGTTGCTTCACATTTAAAGCTTTGCTCAGCATCAGACTTATTGTGAAGTAGTCTTGATCTCCAACAATCCTTAGGTATACAAAATCATGTACTTCTGCTCTAGGGTTAGAGGTCAGCTAGTGCTGTGCGCCTGACGCAGTGGCACCAGCGCAGGTTTGTGCCGAGTCAGTGGGTTTGAGAAGACTTCAGTGAAACCGAGCCAGACCACGAATGACAAGGAGAGTCTGTCCAACAGGGAAGGTCAAATCAGAGTTGTTGACGTTTGATTTCTTCCACCTCTCTGTCTGCCTGCTCTCCTGCTGCTTTCAGCTCTACCCTCTGCTGCACCAGCCGGTCCCGAGCCTCCTGCAGCTCCTTGTTCAGCTCCAGATATCGACGACACTTCTGGAACCGTAGCTCCACCTCGCTGTCTGCGGCACGGGGCACGTCTGAGGAGGAAACAGAGTAAACCATGAGATTACGACCAGTTTATATATCTGCTATAAAGCAGCAGCGTCGGATAAAGTTTGAAGCAAGAAATCTACAGTGTCCCTGAGAGGCCAAATACACGGCACCTTAGAAAAACACTACAAAAACACACTAACAGACCTTGAACACTGGGGGAGAGAGTAACATGACTAAACTAACAGTAAATGTGTTTCTACATTATTATGAGTCATGCAATTAGCTGTACCTTTTTCTGCCTCACAGATGAACTTCCTTTAAGCACGTTTCAGTCCAACCCTGTGCATGTACTGCTTTCTGTCACTTTTGCAGCCATTGCATCACGTTATTGTCTCCCCAAAATCACTCCCATTGTGTTTTGTTGTCAAACCCAGCAAGTGCATGTGGCTGCCTGCTCGCCCACTGAGCCAAAGTGGCACCCCGTCAAACCACGTTGCTTGACTTGGAGATTATAGTTTAAATCACTAAAATTGATTCAAACACAAAAGAGTAGATGACAACATCACACCACCCTACTTCAAATATGCTGAACTATTCAAAAATAATATAAAATGGTTTACTTTGTGGGTTTTTTCCTGACCAAGAAGCTACTTACAATGGCCAGTGAAATGACAATTTCTGCCCCTTATATTCATCATCAGTCGTGACAAAAGTGACTGTGGCTTCTGATGTGCTGCTTTAATGAAAGATACCAAACTTGCTCTTTCTCTGTCTCTCATTCCCAGTGCTCCCAGTTTTAAAAGTTGCCACCCCCACCCTATACACGTCTTTGTGGAGTCACCTTGTCCAGTCTTTTCTAGGATGCTGAAGATCGGGTCATCAGGAGCAGCTCTGTCGAGGTCTTCCAGGATCTGGTCCACGGTCGGGGGCTCAGGACGGCTGGGCAGCACCATCCGCTTCTTACTTTTAGAGCCAATATTCATTCTCCTAAAGTTTGAACTCCAGCTGCTTGCATGCAACACAAACCTGACCCCGGGTAACAGAGTTTATTTAATGAGGTCCAAATCTGCTTCTCGTGTTCAACAGCAATTTTATCACCAAACTATTACTGTTTGTCTTTAAGCTCCATTTAGAAAAAAGTGGAGGATCTTTCGCAAAATAAAAAGCATTTTAAATATATTTCCAAACTGCTGCGTTCTTCTTCGTCAAGTCGGCTTAAAGTAAGTCATTCAAGAATTATCTAAATCATAAGAGTGTACTTTATGAACTTCATCCATTCCTTTCTCTTTATAGAGCCGAACACAGCAATGCTAGCGGCTAGCCTAATCACTGTAAAAACGATTTGCAGCTAAATGTAGGAAAAAAAATAAAACTGTAATTAACCGGTGGAATATTTTGAAGCCGAATTTTGGAAAACATTCTGAAAATTGCTGAGAAGTATTTTTAACTACGACACATGCCTTTATTTTAGCTGGATAGAGGTTCTACATTATTTCTGAATCTATGAAATAAGGGTTCGGCTGCATTAGGCGTAGCTGATGCACAGCACTTACCAGAGTTTGTCCTGGCTGGTGAAACCTTGCAGTGCGTCTCGACAGTCGTTCCCCGTCTTCACTGTTCGTTAACCCGGACTAAGGAGCACAAAAAAACAAGCTAATTCTGCTGATAATATGGCTAACATTAGCAAACAAACTTAAATCTACGGCACGTCAGTACGCCGCCTGCCACGTCAGCACGTCGGACGCGTCACATGACAAGTCAGAAGATAAAAACTCTTCTTCTGAATTTTGATGCCGGATTCACCATAAATTGTATGTAAAATTAATTCTATGTCACAAACATTTTCCAGCAAGTCATTAAAGCCATTGAAATTGTCCTTTTAAGAATGAATTTGAAAATAACGTAACAATACACGATTCAAACAGACTTGAACTGAAGAGAAGATCAGATCAAGAGTCAGAGCTTGAATAATAAAATCACTTCAGTTCAGGTGTAGCATTTCCCATTTGGCTTTGCTCACAGTTTGCTTTAAAAAATGCCGGTAACATGTATTCTCTTATGACTGGAACAGTACCTCCTGACATGCAACCTCCTAAATGAGGAATCCAACCATGATGGGATGGACATATTTTAGCTTCACTGGGAAGGAGTTCTCATGTTGTTCACCTTCATACATGTGCTATAATTATATATGAATATTAACCAAACCAGCAGTTGTTCAGTACATTTGCTGAAAAATGTCAGAAACTGTTTAAATTGTTGCACATTCATTTTCTTTTGATAGAAGACGAATCAGTAAATCTGCTAGTTTGCAAAGAGTTTTTATAGTTTTTCCTGCATGCTTGGTAGGAGCTGGTGAGGAGAGTTGTGTTAAGAAAACGATGATCTTACTGTCATCATTAGCAGGGATGGGCAAGATTTTCAGATATTTGTAAAGACTTTCATAGGAAACCCTGAATGTTTGTTTGTTTTTTTTTATCTTAAAGTACTGTATGTAATTTGTCTTTGTTTCCAGGATGTAATGTACCAGAAGGTGGCAGTAATGCACATAGAAACAATATGTGGGCAATATTTCAAAAATAAAAACAGAAGGTGCAATAAACTAAAGCATGTGTGACACAGTGAGGTTAGATTTTACTGTACGAACAGGAGAAACATGCAAAGCCAAGTACAGAGCCAACTGCTGCTGTTACAAAGTCAAGTGTGCAACTACTTACATAACAAATGATAAAAAAAGGTCAAGTGCAAACTCCATCAGGTAAGCATGTCACAGTCTAACACAACAATGTGCAAACATTAAAGAAGCAGTTTAGCTGAAGAGTGAAAATTGAATTATTCTGCACAGTTCTCATGTAAAGTGGATCTCATTTCCAGCTCCATGACTCTGCTTAGCTCACAATAGCACAAAAGCATTCATTTATCTCATTCATCTCAAATAGGAACAGGTCTACTACTCTAGTACACCTGTTTACTGTGATTATACAGTATTATCCAGGAACACATGACGTATTTCTTTGCACCCAAAGAATGTGACTATGACCTTCTGATTACTAGAGTACTGTCCATTTTTGCCTTGTTATGCTCATGATACACCTAATAACAGATCTCCCTGGCAACACAAAAATTTTGTCATTTATTCTATGAGAAGAATAAAGAAGCTACTCATCTAAAGTCAAACTAGTCAGAGGGCAGAGCGAGTCACGAAGAGAAATAATTGGAATCCTTGGGCACCAAAAAAAGCAGTGCGGCAAGCGTTGTGCTAAACAGTAGATCCTGCAAATAAGACAAAACAGAAATCATTTCTGCTGAAGCCAGTTCATTCAAGTATTTGGAAAAAATTTAAGTGCAGATGATGGAAAAAGTCTTTAGCTGCCCGGGTCTGAAAATAAATGATCACATCTGCAAAGACTTTGACAGACTGAGCTAAAGAGTCCAGCCAGCTAACAGTCCCATAGTTATGCTGCAAAAGTAGAATCCCCACAAACTTAGGTCAGACCAGCCTATAACAAAACCAACACTTAATTTTATTTCATAAAGAATCTTTAAATGTAATGTGAACTTTTGACTTATTCTTATGAAGTGTGGATGTGAGCTTGATTTACTTTAGCAGACATTTAGATTCTGGGTCTTCTATCTGAATCAGGACAATAGAAACAAGTAAAATCCAGGGCAACAATACAGCTTCTGTGAGTTATTTATAATCCAGATTCAGGAGGTTTGCATAGAAAAGATTTAATAACTTAAAAAAAGAAGAAGAAAAGAAGAAAAGAATTGTTCCCAGAAATCTTGAAACAAAGAAGTAAAAAGATCTTTTCACAATGTCCTGCTGCACAACTACAACATGATTTTTAAAAAAAGGAAATCAGTCTCTTTGACAGAGGTAACAATCCTGTTGAAATCTGTCAGGATGATGAGGAAAAACCCTCTTTCCCTCCTTTTCTTCCTCACCAAGGCTCCTCCTCTTCCTCTGCTGCTATCTAAAGAACTGAATAAACAGCAAAGAAACACAGTGTCATTTATTATTTTACCGGTTTGTGATTTCCTGCTTCTTTTTTTAATTTGTCAAGTAAAATCCTACCATAATTATTACGTTAATAAGAAGCATAGACATAGAATGTATTTATTATGGGGTGTTTTCAACACACAAACTAAATCCTGTTACTTGGTTATTTAAAGTAACTGAGTGTTTGTTTGCTTCCTTTTCATGTTCATCTCCTTTAATAGTTAAAAAAAACTGATTGAATAAGTTCAATTACAGGACGTATTTAATCCCCCACCTCCCCTCAAGCTAACTTTTTACTCTCCAGCTCAGTTGTAGAAACTGTTTGAACAGAACACAAATATCTGGATGTGAAGTTTGACTTTCAGAAAATATTTTAGAAAGAAAGTTATTTATCACCTCTGTATTACTTTGATTTGTTATTGTGAGTAACTTACCATCAGTCTACACTGAGTTCATCCTGATGAGCAGACATATAACAGACACAACCAAAGGTTAGAAACGAAAAACATTAAAATGGGAAGTGAAAAGTGAATTATTTGGGGG